CGTATGAGGTGATCGAAAACACCATGGCTTGGGTCAGGCACATCTTAGTCCTTAAAGTGACATCTTCGCTTTTTAACACTTTAAAGAGGTCTTTTGCAGCAGATTTGCCCAATGCAATGTGTTGTTTGATTACTTGACTGCTGTTTCCATGGGTGTTGATTGTGGATCCAAGTAAAATGAAATCCTTGACAACTTCAATCTTTTCTCCATTTATCATGATGTTGCTTGTTGGTCCAGTTGTGAGGATTTTTGTTTTCTTTATGTTGAGGTGTAATCCATACTGAAGGCTGTAGTCTTTGATTTTCATCAGTAAGTATTTCAAGTCCTCTTCACTTTCAGCAAGCAAGGTTGTGTCATCTGCATCACGCAGATTGTTAATGAGTCTTCCTCCAATCCAGAGGCGCCGTTCTTCTTCCTATAGTCCAGTTTCTTGGATTATTTGCTCAGCATACAGATTGAATAAGTATGGTGAAAGGATACAATCCTGATGCACACTTTTATTGACTTTGAAGTCTTCAATTCTAGGATACATAATTTGTGCCTTTTTATTGTCTCTGAAATCAGGATGCTTTTTAAAATTTGCAGTATGTCCTGTTTTAATTGGCCGTGTTTTTTCATTCTCTGAGTTATATAATGTTAGTTACATAATGCCCACTGAAGGCATTTCAGATTTGATGACATAAGCTATTTTGACTTCTTTCCTTCCCTCCCCCAACACTGGAAAGGCTGAGTGCAGGTCACTGGCAGGATGGGGAAGAAAAGAAGCCCCCTCCCACATAAGCCAGGCAATCAACTCGTCAAGCCAATGATGATTTCTCTCTCCCTGAGTTTAGTTCACGTGATTCCACTTTTACGGCCTGGTTCCTAGTCATCCTTCCTCCTGATGACTGGTTTCCTGCCTGGGTTACTGCACCCCAAACAATGGTCTGAAGATTTCAGACGAGAGGTTATTTTAGCCAGCAGGGCAGTTGTGACCAGGACTTTTCACACCCAGTCACCTTGGAGACAGGTGTGTGGCTAGGGAGAAAAGGTACTGTGTGTGAAGGGCAGCATCTCTAAACTCTGTAGTGTAGTTTACAGATACTCCAATACACCTTAGGGTCTGTGAGGGTAGGGGCTGTGCCCATTTCAGCTATTATTATATCCTTTGCATAGTTTCTAGAATTTACTGGGTATTTTATAAATATGTGTTGAGCGAATGACTGAATAAACAAAGAAGTAGATGAAGTCTTGGCCTGCAAGAAAAGTCAGTCTGGATTGCAAAATCTTCCTCTCCTAAACCCGAATGAAATGAATAACAAAACACAAAGACTAGCAAACATTAACCAGTAACAACCAAATGAAGAAACGGGCCTAGCCCACTGCCAAATACTTCACAAAGGTAGCCAAGATAAGACATAGAATGTTCTGGGAGAGTGTGGAACCCTATTTAGCCCATCGAGCCCTGGTGGTACAGTGGTTAAGAGCTATGGCTGCTAACTGAAAGGCAGGCAGTTTGAATCCACCAGTGGTTCCTTGGCAATCCTATGGAGCAGTTCTACTCTGTCCTATAGGGTTGCTATGAGCCGGAATTGACTTGATGGCAGCAGGTTTTTTAAGATGTGAACTGACACCGGACAGGTATGATTATAAAGTTCTGAGTAGTTTGACTTTTACCACCAAGCCTCATCATTTTTCTCTTCTGATGGGGTGTAGAAAAAATGACTACTGAGGAAAAACGATGGGAACGTGGACGTGAATGGTTGGGGTTTTCTCTTCCCTACGGAAGTGAAGGCATTAAGGCCCATACTGAAACTGTGGGCCAGAGGGAAAAGCAAGACTAGGCCTGCTGCCTGACTGCCCCGTGGGGTCCTGGATTCGGAGTAGCTAATAGCAGTTAATGAAGGCTGAGAGGCACCTGTGGGGAGCAGTGGAGTGTTGAGGAGTAGCCAGCTAGAGTGGGCGTGCAGGAGTAGTGGTGCAGGAATCATCTCCGATTGATCCAGGAGGATGTGGGCTAGACCCCTGGGGTCACCCACAGATATTGGAGCATGAGGGAACCATGAAGGGGGCTTGAAGTTTTACAGCTGTCTGTGTATGTAGTACTGAGCTGATAAAACTTGGGTCTGAATGTTAAGGGCTCTTTGAATGGAGCGGCTACAATATTAGAGTCTCATGTGTAGACTGTGGGTGACAGTGAGGAAAAGGTAATCAATGGAAGGTGAGCTGGAGCAAGAAGGTTGTGTTGTCAAACTCTTGCCTGTGATATAAAGATGACTGTATGATTCTGAAACAGCGCCGAATAGCCCTGAAGGGAAGGAAAGTAGTGAGTTCTAAACCCTGCTTAACAGAGCTTCCCTTTTTTGTTTAAGGGGCAGCCTCTCCTAGTTCATTCCTCTGTTGGTCTTCAAGTTGTAGTGAGGTAGAGTTTACAGTTGTTGTTTTTCCATCAGACAAATTTCCACTGCTTATCTATTTTGTTTTATTTTTCTGGACAGGTTGTATAGATTACAGCTGTGTTTTGTCCCTCTATAATAGATTCTGCCTCATGCCTGAGGGTTTCATATGCTTTCTCCCTTAGTTTAGGCTCCTACTGGCTGGGAGTCTACACCCCCATTAGTGCACCAAAGCATAGGTCTATGGGAAGTCAAGAGTCACGATAAAACATGAAAATATCAGGGCTAATTAAGTAGCATCTCTCATCGCATTTCGCACATAGAACGTGAAGATGATAGCTTTACTATCCCTCTTGCTCTAGTTCCCAACAAGTTCAATAAACTTTGCTTAGTTCTCTCAAACTCTGGATCCTCTAAGGATTGGCTCTTGATCTTTATATCCCAGTCAGCTAAAGTACACCCCTTTGCAAGCTAACCTTAATTCTCTCCCTAATTCTTAGTGCATTCTACCTCAGGTAGAATAAGAGACCCAAGGGAGTAGAGCTATTAATGAGTTTTAAGGGAAGGTATGGTCGAAGTGAGGAGCCCCTGTGGTGCAATGGCCGCTAACCAAAATGTGGACTGTTCGAACCCACCAGCTACTTGGCGGAAGAAAGACGTCGCAGCCTGCTTTTGTAAAGATTACAGCCTTGGAAACCCTATGGGGCCGTTCTACTCTGTCCTATAGGGTTGCTATGAGTCAGGATTGACTCAATGGCAGTGGGATTTTATGGTCAAAGTAAGGGTGATAACTGATGCTGTTGTTAGGTGTCGTCAAGTTGATTCCAACTCACAGCAACCCTATAGGACAGAGTAGAATTTCCCCGTAGGGTTTCCAAGCAGGCGCTGGTGGATTTGAACTGCTGACCTTTTGGTTAACAGCTGCACTCTTAACCATTATGCCACCAGGGCTCCAGGGTGATAACTAGAAGATTAGAATTTAAATATTTAAAAACTCAGAGAGGCAGCAGTTACCAGGAATGACAGGATCTGGGGAAGGGCCATAGGTGTGGGTTGATAGACTGGAGTTTCCTGGTAAATTCCAACTCATTCTTCAGGTATCAGCTTAAATATCCTCTCCAAAGAGAAGCTTCCTCTGACTGGATTCACCTTCCCTGAAGTCCACCGTTGTAACCTCCACCTTTACCGTTACAACCTCTAATTACTCACTATGTGTTTCTGTTATAGTTTTCCACATCTGTTATTAAACAATTTTATACCTAATTATTTGTATAATGTTTTTCACCACCAGTAAACCCCATAAGGTCAGGCGTAGTGTCTGTATTGTTCACTATTTTACTCCCAGCCCATGGCCCAGAGCCTATATGAACAGTGTATAGTAGATGATTTGTAAATGGAGGCTGTGCCGAATACTGATGGTGTGTTCAGTAACTCATAGTTTACCTCAGTTAACATGTCCTATGAACACTTGTTATTTATGTTGCTTCCTGTTTCTTTCTCTGGTGTGACTAATAGTAAAAACCATTAAAAATGAAATGAGGAGCAGCACGTGTACTGAAGATAGCAAGGATGAGACAGATTTGGGGTCAAACTTCATCCTATACCAAATTATGAATTAAGAGATTCCAAAAGGTTGAGAGGGTGGAAGCAGGAAGAGAAATGGGGCAAGTGAATCAGCCAACTGGCTGGCACAAATGAGAAAATGGAGGAGGAAGAAGAGGGCCCAGGGGCAGTGAGGCCATGTGCTCTCTGAACCCTGAACATCTGCCCAGCTCTCAGGGCAGGACTACTGGCCCCCGTAAAGCACAGAGACAAGGGGGTCAGTTTTGTAAATACCCTGTAGACTGCAGCCCCTCCTCATCCTGGTGGAGGAGAGGTTAGCCCCAAGGCTAGACAGGGTGGTGTTAGGGGATAAGAAAGATCCTGAGGGGCCCAGGAGAGGAAAGTTAAATTCTATCAAAGCCCCTTGTTACTATGAACCTGTCTGTGCTCCAGGTACTCAGTCTCCAGACCACTGAGAGAGTGACTAAGCATACCCCCCTCCACCACTTGACGAATCCCACCTCACCTGCTTTGCGTTCACCTGTGAATTTTGATGCTGCTGGTTTCCATTTTCTCCTGGCCTGATACTTATTTTCGTATTCCAAGCCTCCTTGTAGGTCTACTTTGGCCATGAGCTCAGTCACAGGGAAGAACCACAGTATAATTACACCAAAGATGTCCTCCCACAGGCCAAAGAGATGAGGGTAAACTGATCATAGCACCCTGTCCCAGAATGGTCTTACAGTCATGCCGATCTTTCAGAGAGCAGGACCTTTGTGGGGAGAGAAGGCCACTCATGCTTTTTGATGCAGTTTTTCGGCCCCAGCCCTGACGGTGGGGGCGAGTTTATGGGGGCCGGTTCTCAGGGACCTAATGAAGCATGATGTCAGAAGGCTTTGTTGCTCATATAAGGGGATGTGTAAGATTCAGAATCTAATTGGTGTTTGAGCTTCAGAAAGTGGTAGATTAATGTCTCTGATAGCATCTGAGATGGTAAAAGGTGTCTCTATTGGCTCTTGGTAGGGAGGGTGTCACGGGATGTGTCTATATATTCCCCTCTTACTCTGTAGAACCTTTGTCAGTAAGCTGGTGCTTCCTCACAGGGTTTTTTTGTAGCTGGGGCTGGGACCTTGGTGACATGGGAATCAGGATGGCTTTGAATGGACATCTGTTTCTCCAGGGACTCGGTTTTCTCATTCTCTGCACCCTGGTGGGCGCTCCAGGTAAGAGTTGCCTCCTTTTCCTGGGATCAACAGTAAGTGGGTGGACACGTTGGTGAAACGGCAGGTCCCTGGAGTCATGGAGCCCAAAGCTTCAATGTAGATCATACATTTCTGACCAAAAAGGAACCACAGTGATTGTGAATATTGCTTCTTCTCCTGTGGGGTGTTTACTGATCATAGTGGTGGATTTTGCAGAGAGGTAATATCTGGTCTCTGATGGAGCTGTGTAGGTTTCAGTCCTCTCCAATGTCTCCCTTGTTTTCAGGAAACATCCCTTTAGTCCAGGGCTCCCAGTGTGTGGGAAGGACTAGCGATTGACATGGGCTGGGTCTCTGGGCTGCTCCTCACATACTCCACTCACTTAACTCTTCTCCTTCTGCCTGATTACCCCATCAGGACTCCAGTATTTCTATTCCTTTCTGGCTATGTGCATGTATGTGCGTGTGTGCAGTGGGTGTGAGGGGTGTGTAAAGGCTATCTGTGTGAGAGGGAACAGGCTGCCAAGAAGTGACTGAGTCTGTAAAATACACAGTGCCCACACTGTGGGGGTATGGGCCTATGTGAGTGAGTGTCTGTGATGATAGGCAGAGGCAGAGGTCCCACATGTCAGCTGTAACCTGACCATAGATAATCTTACACCTGCCTGCCTCTTTCTACCACCTCTCCTTGAATCCTATGGACTCTTCTCTGCTTGACTGCAGTGTTTGCCTAGCAGTGGGCTCTGGAGGAGGCTTTGCCTCCTATCCTCACCTCTCCCTCTCAGGTCTCCACTGTAGAGTGGAGAAACCTACAGCCAGAAGAGGGGACCTCTTGTTTACAAGGATTAACTGATATTATGGGCTAAGAACGGAGCTAGGATATGACTTTAGAGTCTCCTCAACTCCTGCCCTAGTCCTGGTGAGTTGTGTTTTTAATTTACTGGCGTCCTGGACTGGTTCTTTTTCATCCTTAGAATCTATTATTGGAGAAGAACTCCAGGGTTGTGAATTCTTTGGGGTGCATTTTCTCTCTCATGTAATCTTTCTGTCCTTTCCTGCAAGCTGGTTTCCACTGAGCCCCTGACTCAGAGGACCTTAGCATCAGGGACTGGGCTGCAGCTCAGAGGAGGTAACTCTTTCAGGATCTGCGTATTGGTTCAGGCTGAGGCTGTGACGGCTCTGTCTCCCTTCAGTGCTCCTTGTCCTCCTCCTGCTCCGTTCTTAAGTCTCCATAACTCTCCTTCGGAAACTTCACCCCTACAAGTTCCTACTTCTTGAGTGTTGGCCAGATGCTGTTTATTTCAGTATAAACTAAAGAAATTGCACAAAGCATAAGCACACAGCTCGATGAATTACCACAAAGGGAACACAATCCTATAATCACCATCTAGCTCAATCAGTAGAACATAACCACTCCCCTAAAAGTCCCCATTATGCCCCTTCCCAATGTATGTCCCCTTTCCCTTCCTCAACTGTAACCACTATCTTGACTTCTAATGCCATAGATGAATTCTTCCTATGTTTGAACTTGGTACTCATGGTATCATATAGTATGTATTTTTCTGTGCCTCACTTACTAAACATTTTTTTTTTGTAATTCATCCATGTTGTTGCATTCCGTCATAGGTTGCTCATTTTTATTGCTCTTTTTAGTCTGTTATATAAATATGCCATGATTTAGTTTTTCATTCAACTGTCAGTGGACACATGAGTTGTCTCTTGCATTAAGCATTATAATAATGTTAGTTTGAGCATTCTTGTGTATGTTTTGTGCAGGTCCTTACTTTACCACTTTCACTGATGTCATTTCCATTTAATACTCTTTTACCTCAATGGGTTCACATTTCTTTTCAACTTCGGCCTGATTTTTCCTTCCTGTCTTATCAGAGCTTCAGTGCTTTTAAAATAAAATTTTAGTATATATTTTAGTCTATCTTTTAGTTATTCTCGGAAGCACAGTTCGTTTAAAAAATCTAGCCCACCATTACTAGGAATGGTTTTATTGAGATTTTTGTAGAGAACTGAACATGTGTACTTGTAGGATCTCATTTCAACCCTTTATTCCTGCCTCAATGTCAAGCCTATCCTAAAACACTGAGTAAGCCTCCTAGGATGATTCCTCTCTTCAACTCTCTTTTCACCCCTTCCTCCACCTATTTATCTCTACCTCCTAGAACAGACCTCCTCATAATCTTGTTAAGGTTAGCATCTTCCAAGAGGTGCTCTTCTTCTGTTGCACCCCCTTTTTCTTCTTGAAGGGAAGCACATGGACCCAGGCCTAGACTTGAGCAGTGTGAACAGGTAACGAGGGACCAAGTCTTGGTTGGAATCCAAGAAAGACAATTATTTTTTAAAAAATTTCGTTGGGGTATAGGTGAAAGTTTACAGTGAAAATTAGTTTTTCATTCAAAAAATTTATACACAGATTATTTTGTGACATTGCTTGCAACACCCGCAATGTGTCAGCACTCTCCTCCTTTCCACCTGGGTTCCCTGTGTCCATTTGTCCAGTTTTCCTGTCCCTTCCTGCCTTCTCATCTTTGCTTTTGGGTGAGTGTTGCCCATTTTGGTCTTGTATACATGATTGAACTAAGAAGCACGTCCCTCACATGTGTTAATGTTTGCTTTATAGGCCTATGTAATCTTTTGCTGAAAGGTGGACTCTTGGAGTGACTTCAGTTCTAAGTTAGCAGGGTATATGGGGGCCATAATCTTGAGGGTTCCTCCAGTTTCTGTCAGAACAGTAAGTCTGGTCTTTTTGTGTGAATTTGAATTTTGTTCTACATTTTTCTCTCGCTCTGTCCAGTACCCTCTATTGTGATCCCTGTCAGAGCGGTCAGTGTTAGTAGCTGGGCACCATCTAATTGTGGGCTTAGGCTAGTAGAGGCTGTGGTTCATGTGGTCATTTAGTCCTTTGGACCAATATTTTCCTTGTGTCTTTGGTTTTCTTCATTCGCCTTTGCTCCAGGTAGGATGGGACCAGTAGATGGATCTCAGATGGCTGTTCACAAGCTTTTAAGACCCCAGATGCTACTCACCAGAACAGGATGTAGAACATTCTCTTTATGAACTATGTTATGTCAACTGACCTAGATGTCCTCCAAGACCTGGTCCCCAGCCCTCAGCTTCAGAAACCCGGTCCTTCAAGGTGTTTGGATGTGTCTAAAAGCTGTCTTAGGCTGGGTTCTCTAGAGAAGCAAAACCAGTAAAGTGTATAAATATATATATATATATAGAGATTATATCAAGG